CATGCATCAACCGACATTAGTCTCGAGTCACCGTCGACTTATTCGACGCCATTACCGTCATTGTACCCGTTTAGCCCGCGATTGATAGCGAAATGGAACCGCGGACGCGAACAATGCATCGCAATTTCGAACCGAGTTCTTCCACGTTCTCATCCTGCAACCAGATGAGAAGACGTGGAGAAGAGAGAGATGATAGAAAGAGTCGGGAAAGAGGGAAATCGATCCCCTCGATGCCGGATGTACCGTAAATCCTGACGTTACATCATTAATGCGGCTGGCTCGTTAATTAATTCGCCAACGTTGCGGCTCTCGCTACGTGGCAACGGAAGAGGGTGGTTAAAGAGCCTGGACGATTTGCTTGCCGTAGAAACACGCGTGTATTTACGTCGATACGATCTAATTACCAGAATGACACGTCCAGAGTTCCACATTGGATTTACCGAAAAATCATTCGACATGCGCTGCCACTCGCAATACGTGCATCAAGGGGAGTTCGAAAGCAGCACGATTCAATTTTCGATACGTCTCACCGATACTTTCCTGTCCACATCGATTCCATGACTCGAGACTAAGCGAGAGCTGGCAACTAACCATCAAGCGCTCTAGAATTCAATCGAGAGAATAAAATCCACCTCCAGGCATTCCAGCTTCGCGGCTTTCGTCGCTCCAGTTGCATTTTAGCGCGATTACGTAACGCGCGTGTTTTCTTTGAAAAAATGGCAAGTTGAAGTTATTTATGATTCGTATGAAATGCTATGGAATTTAACAGGATTTTTGACAAATATTTTATATACAGAAGACGTGTGTCTATTTTTAACGAAATTTCAGCATCTGATCCAACAAACCCCTGTTTATTCTCGTAATCGTGACTTAAACGTGAATTTCTATTATATAAATCATAGGTAGTGGAAAGAATCACTGAATTTCTGTTATTTTCAAATAAGTTGCTATAAATGGAAGACTACTATATCCTGTATGTTAATAACGATGTGTTTTCAACCCTTTCAAAAGAATAGGGCTGACTATCGGAAGCGATAACAATTATATTTAATAACGAGAGGATAAATATCAAAGGCAATTAAAAATTAAATTAACTTTGTTTCTCATAATTAAGCGATTCAAATATCTAACGATAATTCGTAACGTGAAGTCACGGAGTTATCGTAAGTCATAGGGTAGATCGTTGGGGAAATGCGCGAGAGAGATCAGAGATAGCACGCAAACCCGCGTTGTGTTATCCTAGAGATTAAGGAACAGCGTTCTTAGAAGATCAGACCACAAAGGGGGGAAAATGAGGGTACCTTCTTGCGAGGGAATTCTGAGAAATTAATCAAACAAATAATTTAAACATCCTTTATATTTAATATCGTATTTAATACTTGTGATAAATATTTAAACAATACTAAATTAACGTGATAAGATTATGCTGACAAAATATTCTTTGTTTCTACATGAAACTTAATAAAACAGTAATTTTAAAAATACATAAAGTCGAACATAGTGTAATATCACTTGTAATACTGTGTACATACACGTACCATTGCATAACGAAATAGATCGATTATGACAAATAAATGGAGACATTATTTCTGAAGCTCGCACGCACAGGACCAAAAAATGTTCACAAATCCGTAGGGATTACGGTGATATTTTCTATCCAGTCTGCTGTACAGGACCAATTTGGGATCGGTAAGTATGACGAATGGTCGCGGCCAACGTGAAGTTCGAGGCTACGAAATTACGGGGCTTTCATAAGGATTACGTGCAAACGAGTGGTATTTTTAAAGCTCCGGATAGAGAAAATGTTCGAAGCAGCTGCAGGTGACGCGTCACCGTCTCCCCCATGGAAAGATCTTTCTCGCTTTCGTCGCATTTCATTTCATTTTAAAACCATAAATATCATTCTCACCGTTTATTTACTTTTACACTGCAAAATTGTTGTTAGAAAATTAGGAATTAACGCCAAATCTCATGACATATTAAATTTATATTAATTATAAAAAAGAAATACGCGTGCCCAAGATATTAGGAATTGGTAGATGCTCTTAATTGTTTATCAACTTCACATTCGAATCCTATAATCCATATTTTGTTTACAATATACTTGCTAAATTTATACCGATCATTACATGTGTATCTTCTTTAATTCCTCCGTTTTTATTTCCAATTTCCTCATATTTAAACGATGATTCAACCGATAATTCCACGATTACATGTTCATGAAAAACACCGGTACAGTCACCATCCCGCAACAGGAAACTGAACAAACACTCACAGTAGCCAACCACGAATCCACTAAACCATAACCAATCAAATTATAATGCAAAATATATTTGCCTCTTCGACCATAAACCTACATTCGCTTAATTCTTCACCACGCATCGACAGAATCTACCAAATCGACCTGCATCCCCCGTTTCTCAAAATTAATCAACGTGTACGTTGATGCTAATGGACCCGCCAAACTCGTCCTCTTTTGACTCGTTAACTTCCATACACGCACGTCGCGGATACAGAGATCGCGTTATAACAACCAAGCGAGATGAGAAGAGAAGAGCGAGAGAACGGAGCGCATACGAGTCTCCCTGATGAAACGGAATCTCATCAAAATGGACGTGGATGCGTCGGGCATTGATTTCCACGTCCCCAGACTTCACTTGCTTCAGCCACGCTTGGCATCAAGCTTGTTACCGGGGCTTTTCCAGGATCGGCGCGTATCACGCTCGCATACGTGCATAATTAACGAGACGTGCCACGCGGCACGAACGAATTTTGACGTACAAATCCGCAGCGACACGGATCAGGCTAACGACGATACGCGCGTACCCTCCCAGCCCTGCAACTTTTCGAAACGCTACCGCAACATGAACTGCCTAACACGGGCACTGCGGCCAACCGCACTGCCATCGGTTTTCGACGGTTCCCTCTTTAACGGGAACCCTAGGTGACCAGCTCCTGGTCCTTCCTTCTGCGTGTATACGCGTTGTTTCCATTCGATTACGAGCCCCTCCGACGCTTATCTACCCGCAGAATCCACCTACTCGCGTGGTTTAATCTCCACGCAGACTGCATATGCTGCAATAATTCAGCTTTCATGGATGAATGTTGCGTTGAATACGGGCTGGATAGATGTTGGATAGAACTTAGATACGCATATGCATTTCTGTGTTATGTACCTGCCGGGCGTGTGACCTGAGTGATTTAGTTAGGAATAGTATGTAACTGAAGATCGAGATAATGTCGATGATAGGGTATATGGCTAATGAATGAAAGAAGACTTGCAAATGCATGTGAAGATTTGAGATGAATGATGCCACATGAAAATTTGGGCAGCTACGGATGTACGAAGGTCACAAATCACATTTCCAATCTTCCTGTATTTAGTTCAATGTAACTAATACTAAATCGAAACTGTCGTTCCATTCGATCGAAAGAATTAAGTTCTAGTGCGAATATTTTTCTTGGGATAATTGATACCAAAAATACGCTAGTTAAAGAGAAATTACTCGAAATTACAAGAAGTAACGTAAGAGGAACTGTAATGCTTATGAATAACAGTACTTATCGTTGATTATTTCATACGATATTCAGACAGTCTTTCAATCCTTGACGTTGATCATGTCCAAGCATAAAGGCGACCATATCATAAGACTCGTTGCCAATGAATTTTTCACTGAATTATTACGGGAGCTAGCGAACGAGGCTGCTCGCAGATTAAACCGTGCAAAGCCGATTTCGATGAAAGGCACCTTCCTCTTATGCTAGTACAGCAGCCTGTTTTCGTAAAGGGGCGCAGAATACCCTGTGCCGTGAGTTTTATGGCGGTGGATAGACGCTACCTCGAACGAGAGGGTACTAACCTTCACCGGATAATAATTGGAGTACGTAAATTACGCGTAAATCGTCGGATTCATAGAGATCGTAACGACGAAACGATGTTCTAATGAATATGGGAAATGGGTGGCTGAACTGTTTACACGGGACAGGTTACCATTGCTTCAAGCGACAGACAGATACGCGTGAAAGCGAAATTTTAATAATGGGGGAAGATTTTATGTGAGAACGAGTTCCGATTAGGCTTCGAAGTGTGATTTTCTTATGGAACTTTTAATGACTTTAATATTATTGTGATGTCTTATAAATTATAGGAATCTACTGTTATTTCTAATTATTTCTTAAACCTCTACCTTTGTGCTTTAAAATGTTAATTTTATGTAATTAAACAATAAATGACTAATGGTAAACATAGACGAAGAAGATTTACATATATGTTGCAGAAAGGATATAAAAAGAAAGTACTTGCAAAAATGAGGTACCTCGAAAGAAATATGATTTAATGCAGTTACTTTTATACCGGGATATGATTTATGACGATAGCAATGGTAATGCGCAAGAATGATAATACAAGAAGTGGAAGAAAAAAGTGCACGTGCACGTTCCACATACATATGTAAAGGCAATATTATTCTCGTTTAAGATGAAATATAAGATCCAAAAGATACAACGTACATAAAGCTACACCTTTACGAAGAAATCGAGTACACTTTACACACATGATATTTGTAAAAATCCTAAGAATAAAACATCATACACTAAGGAAGAATTCGAAATTCTTCTCTTAACTCTAAAAACGCCATAAGCATGAAATTCAAGTGAAATTAAAAGAAATTAATATTTAGATGAAATTTTAAATAAGAAGTTTAAGAGAAGCTGAAAGAAATTAATAACCTGGCCCGAAAATCAACCGATGAAAAATAGATTACCCCGTTTCCCCTATTTGGGAGAATAAAAATGTCTGCATAATACCACCAGCTCGCCCTCCTCTAACCACTGTCAAGCAAGATAAAATACACAACCGGCCAGCAAAATAAATCATTACGAGGGAGCTTGCGAAGCGCGATGACTTCGAACTTTACAAAGCAGCCTGGCCAGGATCCAACATTCATCTCGCTAAATTTATTTATCCGACAGGGCTATTTGTTACGCGTGGCGTGCCAATATCGGTTGCCTTGCAGGTTCATTAGTTCGAGATTCTCGACGAGTTCAGCCATCGACTTGGATGTTCGCGACGAAGAAACGACAGAATCTGATCACCAGAAAGTTCCAGTTGAAAATGTAAATAGCGCATTGTCGAGAGTTCCCCTCGCGACGAAGCTATTGTCCACGCTAGAAGGAAGTAACGTGGTAGTCGAACCTGTGGAAAAGTTTAATCGTTCTACCATGACGTGACGTCAGAGATAAGGAAAACTGAAAATGGTAGTCTCCGCAAACGCTCGCTGTTTGTTTCGTGCATACAGAATACGACAATTCAGTTGGATATGTATACATGTATAGGTATGTCGCTTTGTGTATCGTCGAATATTCAACTCTCATGATATTGCTTTTGCGTTTGACCTTTCTGTTTGAGAACGCTTTCTTCCCGTCTGTTGGCTCCGTGTTTATTGAAAAGTCATGTTATGAGAAGTATCCTAGTATGAGGCAAAAGGACAGTAAAAGGTATGTTTAAGTGTGTACGACTGTGTGTTTGAAGCTAGCCTTTGCAACATATTATTGTTTGCAAATGTAAATCTCTATGGGGGATTTGGTTTAAATATGTGGAAGCGAATGAAAAATGGAAAATAGAAAAAAATGTGTAGAAACAGCGATTGTATTAATAGGAAAATACTTTATTGGATATCAGAGGATAATGGATAAGGAGAGCTTAAGAAATAATAAACAAATTTTGTCTGTATATTTTTTCAGTTTACTTCAATTTTTATTTTATTTGTAAGGAATTAGAAAGGATAGGAGATAAGTGGATGAAAATACGAACTTCAGGTGCAATAAAGAAGAATTTAAGACAGAAGATAAGGAAGAAGTAACAGCGGAAACTTGATCGAAACAGAGTTACAAACAACATGTATAAAGGTATAGCAAAAAGGTCATGATCATTTAAAAGCTTTCAGAAGAAAATACGAAAAGAGAAGAAGACACGTATATAAGAGGCACGTTAAAAGAGATAGAGCAATGAAAAAAAGAAAATCAATTTACCTATCATTGGAACTCTTACTCGAATATTTTCCATTCGCAATCAAATCAGGGACTTCTCAACTTTCACGCTTTCAAACATTTTTCAACCTACATCGTGTTTCACCCAATCTCTTCACATAACTCCAATTTCCTATCAAACAAACTCTTTGCTTGTCCCGATTTCCAGAAAATTCTCGTCAAAATTTCAAATTCTTCAACGAACTCTCCGGAAATTAACTGCCCAAGATTAAGGCCCTCTCACATAATAATTTACCAAGTAATTACATCGGTTAATTGGCAAGTTCTGGGTTATAAACTTCGATTGCATAAAGCTTTGACAATTTTATAATTTTATATTGCATACAGCTGTAAAGGACTTGTGTAGAGGATGTTGAGATTTATTAGACGTTATTGCTCGTTGTTGAAACCGTCGAATATATTTAAAATAATCAAATAAATTATTATACAGACAATATTCGCTGAGACGCTCCTACAGTATATAAGTCGCAAAATAAGATCGCTGATAAATACTCAATAAATGCTCGATAGATACTCGTAGATACTGATCGATAAATGTTACATAACTGTACTCTTTTCGGTTGCGTCCGTTTATTTATACTGGTCGGGGGAGAGTTAGAAAATCCAAATTTGTCTTCGTTCGACGATTGCACGTAACGGCGACATTGTTTTGCCCGGTGTTTATTTATTATTACATTACGTATTTCCTAACGATATTGATACTCCGAGGCAAAACAACATGATTCAAATTGTCCTGTAGCTCACGTGCCGCTACACAGCTATCAGTTATTTTTAATAATTTGTAAAAATTGTACATTTTTGACCGGTTAGGTATAACAAAATGTAAGGAATTAAGTCTGCAAGAACGCCTAGATCTCCTTTTAGTCAACTGCTCCATCTAACTCGTTGGTATCGAAAAGTCAGGGTGTGAGGATCTAGTAGATACGTAGCGATCAAACTCTATCCCTGGATTCGCGTCCCTACGGGTATGTCCTGCGGGTTTGCGGCGCCGTGGCAAGGATAATCGCGTGCTGGGCGATAACGACGTTATCGAGCCGGCGATTCGAAAGCCGCGACACAGGGTCGACGGTAACAATTAAGCGGTCCGATCAACCGATCTTCGCGGATACTGGCTAGGGTTGCTCGGGTTCTCTAAGCGCGAGAACCGTCGCAAAACGGATCGTAACGGGTCCGCGAATATCCCGTAGACGGTACGGGTCAATGTCGGCTTCGTTTCGTACCTACGGACACTTAATTAATTCAGTTTGCGCCGGACTACCCGTTTGTAATGCGGGATAGGGGCGCCTAAGAACCCCGAGGCAGTAATTGATTCAAATGCTTCGAGGGTATTACGGTTGAGGAAGACGATGTGCCTGGATCTCAATATCGCCAGTTTGTCGACCGAAACCACCATCGTGTTAAGTGTGACTATCTTGTAACCTATGCGTTCTGTTTATGCGTTGGCGTGATTCAGATTCCATATGAATTATGAACGTTACGATGATTATACCAAAGTAATCAAACATATATACGAAAAGTATGATAAGTGGTGGTATCCTTTTCTCGCAGAGAGAAGTCATTTGAAAATTAAAAATAATGTCGATTAGTCTCACTTAAATAAAATTCTCTTTCTATTTGACGCTAGGATTAAACACGTTTCCCATAAATATTTCGAAAATTTCAATTGTCTCTTAGATTTGCCATAACTTAGCTTTTTTCTTTTTATAAAACTCTGTTTATTCTTCTAATACATGTAATATCATCTATTTTCTCCTAATTTGATCGTATCAAAAAATTAATCGATATGCTATTGCATTCCTGATCAATATCAATAAACCAGAATTCGGACCATAATAACTGGTTCGAAGGGAGGCACGAGATACCGTCGAGATAGGAAATTCGCATCAAAAGGGTCGTTACAAAGGGCTGAATCGTAACGCGCGTCCTGTAATACCGCATGATACATGAATTTAATTAAGCAATTATTCAGGACAGTCTGTCACATTAATCACCGTTTACATCTTCTTCTTCTCTCTGATTTGTCTCGTCCGTAATCTCTCCCAACGTTTCCCTTCGTCTTTCCACGATTTCATTGTACCGTAAAATTTCCACGACCACGCGAGGTATTCGTAAAAGTTCCGCACTTCAAACAACCCACCGACAACGCTCAGAGATGTTCATCCTAACAACGACTCTTTTCATCGTGGAATTCCTTTATACCCCGGCCAACGGGGTGGAAATGGTTTTGCAATCGTACGTAGTAGTTTCCATGTAGCTATTTTATTTATCTCGTTAGTAGCTGTGTGATGAAAGAAATGCTGCGTTAGAAAATACCTTCTTTTTTTTTTAATTTCAATTTAAAAGATTAAAAATAAAAAAGACTCATGGAATTTAATAAATTTAATTTTCTGCAAGTTATTTATTTCTTTATTTACTGAGAATGGAAAACTCTGTTAAAAACGAGAAGCTCATTCTGTATCTAATTTCCCAAGTACATTTTCCATCTTCTTATAACCTTATTCAATTGTGCTTCTCTAATTATTCGCAAAAGCGTAGAGATCTCTCACTTCTAAGTAATGCACGACATTCATCAAATTTCATCATTCTCACACTCACTGTTGTTTCAATTCTTACAATTGCCTTGTCTCCACAACAACGAGTTACTCTGTTGAGCGTCATCAACATCTTTGTTCTAGCTTCCGTGACGCTTTCGTGAGAAAACGTAAAGAGAGGGAAAGGAAGGAGAAGAGAAAGGAGGGGAGGGATGGAAAAGGGTGATTCCAAGGGAAAGGCCGTGCTCAGTCCGAGAGAACTAATTTCATAGTTTTAAGGGCCACTGGAATTGAGCCGGTTCGGGTCATCGCTAATTGGGTGCTGTACTGGCTAGATTGCGGTCACCTTGTTAGAAACCTCGACGACTTCGCTGTGAAAATATATCTTCCTAGCGGAGAACGAATCTTCTCTCGTTTCAGCACGTGTATCGCATTTCTGGCGTGTGTATATTTGAGAAGAGACGTTTGAGTACCACGACGTTTGATAAACCAACTCGCTATCAGGCAATGCTTGACTAGACCAAAGTTGATGTTCCAACGTGAACACATTGTTCCGTTTCGATTCACGAGAAGGCACAATAGTACACTGACTACATTTATAGTTATATTCCTTTCTTTCTGTAGCTAAGATAGCTACGTAATTTGTAATAAAATGTAAATAAATGAAAACTGTAATAAAAGTATACAAAGCTAGAGAAAGCACTGATAGAAATTTAGATTCAATATTTCCAACTTGAAAATTTAAAATCCCAAAAATGTTAAGTTTGAAATTCGAAATCTAAAGTTTGATGTTATCAAAAATCATCTTAGAATCGAACTGCCTTCAAATATAAAATTAGCTGGAATTTCACAGTACACAACATTCGTATAATACGATACCCGATAACAGTAGCCAATTTCATTTAGATTCTGCCAAAGAAACGTATTATATACATGTACAAATACCGATAAACTCGCCGCGCCCATAAAGCTCTCATTTTACGAGCGCAGTCGCTCGTTTAGCAAACATTTCGGTTTCCCTTAATTTAAGACCGTTCGACGAATGAAAACAAATTGGCGAGAATAGGAAAACGTTTTCAGTTGATTGCTGGAAATATCCGGGAAGCCACGAAAGGGATTCCTGTGAGGTACAAAGAGCATGCGGCTAAGGGAATAACCAGGGGACTTCTGAAAACGGTGATCACGTTTTTTTAATTAAACCGAAAGTTAGACCCCCGTAGAGAGGAATCCCCCCGGACAATCGAGACGGCCGGTTTAATCACGACGTAATAATGACGGCAAATAAATTAAACTGGACCGTAACGCTGTCCGCTCGAACAGCCCCTCGAAGAAAGATCGCGTGCCGGAAACAAAAGACAGAACGATTCAATAAACTTCGACGACACGGGCATTCCATGAACGCTGAGATTAAGTTTACCAGTATCTGAAGATTTGACGAGCATTCCAGTGAGAATCTCAAGTAATTGTTTATTCAGAAATTTGGCAGTTTCGCGATTTAATTCTCGAAATATTGTTTTCACGACTTTAATCATTTATTTTTAAATAACTGATTTCATTTATAATTTTTAAAATCGCTGGAAAAATAGAAATTTTTGTGATTCAATCATTGAACCGTGGATTCAATGACTCAGAGATTGTACAAGACGATTAATGTTATAACCAAATATCAACAATCATTTTAACTGCCTATGCACGATATGAAAGTATTCAACATTAATAATTAAAAATAATTAATGGTTAAAAATATTTTTAACAATTACACGAGTCAAATGGTAAAAGCGTGGGAATATCGTTAAATGAATTAATCCCTTCACTATCATTGTCAGAAATACCACAATAGTATCGACTATTAATCTTGGCCACATTTATATCTGCTTATGGTCTTCTGCCGAGTTAGATAAACACTTATCGAGACCGGATTGCCGATAACCCAACGTTCATAGTGGATGGTTGGGGTTTATCGCGTACCCCTCATAAATCCGCATTATCGTTGGTAAACGGACGCAGTTATGACTTTCGTAGAAACTGTAAACAGTTACTCGAGCGGAAATAAATGTGGTTTCTGCATTTCTCTGTATACAATGAGACTGAAGATCTTGCAGAATCATCTCACAAACAGAGATTAAAGACTTAACTTAACGAGTTTGAATGCTTGAATTATGAATATCGATTTCTTGCGAAAGTTATTGCTTTTATCCAACTAATCTGTCACTGGAATTACGATAACTGACCTTCCAATTTATCTGATAAAATTCCACGCTTGAATGAAATTTAACTGTCTTGTCAAGTTGTGTCGAAGTGGAAGTCATTAATCTATAATTATAACGAGACTTTTTTACTGTACAAAACATATGTTTACCGTAAGTATGATCGAAATTTCCAATAATTATTATCATCGACAAAAATAATAATTCTTTTACAATTTATTTGTTGGACCCAAATGATCTTTCCATAATAACGTTACCAGATAAAATAGGAATTATTCAATGATAATGCACACAGCCCGCTCCAGAGTCATAAAGTTTCAAATACATAGTACTATCAGCAGAAATAAATAATAATTTGTTTCCAATTTATATTTTCGATTAAAATGTATTTTTATAAAGCATCACTAAACAAAATATTAATATATTCGATCATATTCCATATATCCCATCACATCATCATCCTATGCAAACAACAAACGTACCACGCTCAGAATCGTCCATCATCTCCATTTATACTTCCTGTACCTATACGCACACACACTCGCCGTTTCAATTGCATTCGCCGATTCCCCAACGCCCAGTTTCCAGCAGTGAATTAAATTCCATCATTGCAAACAGCTCGATTTCGCGCCGCAATTCTCAAGAAGTCGCGCGGCCGAAACAGAGAGAAGACAAATCTGCTTTGCAGAGACACGTGTACATAAATAGGAGGGTCGGTAAACGGTTCGGTCACGGGTATTTAAGCACGAGCACGCGTTTACAGACTGCACGCCGATATATGTTTGTATGCGTTCGACGTCGACAAACCCCCCATGAGCAATACGTTGTAGATAACGAACTGAAATCCCGTCAGAATCCACGTTTACGGTTTCAATATACTCGAAACAGTTCGCGTGGAGACACAGCAGCGTGTGAATCCCTTCGAGCCGAATTGAAAATGTTCCACGCCCGTGATATACTTCCGATGCTGATTTGCACGATGTGTTTGATATCCTATTGTGCGTCCTGCTCCCCGGATATTGGACAGCCGCTGGACTTGAGTCGGGTAGTGCTATGTTTACATCGATTCGATGATGATTTAAGTAGAAAATAATATGGTGATGAGACGTTGAAGTGAACAGTGTGATACAGAAGCCAGAGTGTTTTAGAATTGATATATCGTATAACTAAAAAAGAAGGTACAATGTGGAAAAATAGGTTGGAAGTGTGGAAGAAAATGTTTTTGTGCGAAGCTTTATTTTCAGACAAATTGATGTTAAAAATTCGTTGTGTTGATTGTACTTTTTTACAATTAGAGTCATTTTTGTTGCATTTATCTAATTTTACTAATGATAAGATAGAATTTACATCTACTTCGTTATTCATTCTTTAATATGTAATGTTAAAAGTTTAATGTTATCATCTGAAATAATAATGCAGACACCTACTAACATGTAAAAGTATACGTGTTTGTCGATTTTCAATATCGATTTATTTGAAAATAAAGCTTATATCTGAAACTTGTATCTCATTGCTGTATATGAAAAAATATCACCCTCCATTTTCAACTTACTTTTCCATGTAGGTTTACCTTCGTTCATGTTCTATCACTAATTTAAGGATACCTTGTACAAAGAAATTATAAAATTGATAAAGCATTAACAATTCTTTGATGCTAATTACTGCAAGACAAAAAATTCACGTTTTATTCCTTTTATTGTTACAATTGAAAACAAAAATCGCAAGCAGATTTGTAGTTTGCATAAATAAAACAATATCTAATATTGCAATCATACGAGATTTATCAAGATTTTATATTTTATTCTCATTAAGATCTGGCTATTATTTTCGCTATACGTTCACAGGCTCTAGAAATCTCCATTTAACGCAAGTAAAGGAAACCTGTACCAACAAATCACAAACTGCTAATTATTAAACATCTACGCGGTAAATATCAAAACCATAAACTTAGTTTTTGCAATATCGATCGTATTGTATGATTACACGATCCTTCGATTATTTTAAGTAACATGTTTGCGAACGTACATATAAACGAAACAGACTCGTGTTCGCATAATCGTATGCATAAGACCCGTTCATTTGAAACTTGACAAATGATACCGAGTTACGTTTCGTATGATAACCATGAACATCACACATCTATGTCGACACCCGTAAATTCGGAAACGTTAGTTCAACGGATCGTGAGCTTGCACTCACTGCAGCCGATATTTGTCAATATTGGATCATTACGCATAATCGTACGCATTAATTTTCAGATTATGCATGCATATTGCATACGCATGAATCTAATTCGAATTAACGCTCACTGTCGCGTGGCAAATGGATCCAAAATAAAATAAAACGTTTCTGTAAAAAAAATAGAAACACAGCCAAACGATAATTGTTGATAAACGAATTGTCAAGAAATTATAAGCTGAGAGAGAAAAAATGTGGAATTTTTATGCTAGTTTGCAGGAGAATGGTATTTCGCTGCTGACACGCCGGTAAATGTAAGCCTAAGTAGATGCGGACGGTTCCTAGTCAGGCAGAGGTCGCCCAACGCGTTTACGGTGAAATTCACTGCGCTCAGTTACAAGAACGATATTCCTACCGTTTTTAACATCGATGGAAATGTCAATGGGAATGATATCGTTGCAACCTGGCAGCTTTAGGAATCGAAAAAGAGATTAGGTAAATATTTTATTTAGTACTAGAATTACTCAGTATAAAATTTGTACGAATAGAATGGAAATGAAAAAATATTTGATGAAAGAAAAAAACAAAATCCTTCCAATCCTCAAAATACACCATTATGATTTTATAAAATTTCAATGAAAAATTATAAAATATTCGTAAAATTTCTATAACTTTTCATGCTAATCAGTCGTGACAATTTTAATGTTAAGCATTATCCGATGAAAGATAAAATAATCGATCTTGAATTCTCCAACTTTTTATAATTCTAATGATAAGCTTCTTCTTTGATGAAAAGCAAATAAATTGATTCTAAATTTTCCGACTTTAAAATGTTAAAGAACCCTGAAGTTTAAAATAACCGTACCTTGATCTTTCGCGAGCTTACTCAAAGTGTTCTATACTCGAGCAAACGAGTGGGATAAACTTTAAAGAAAATATTTTCCATAAAGACAGCCTAGACCTCTGCGAACCTTGACACGTGAATCGATAAAACTAATATTTTCAATGGCGTGTTATCGGAATGTCGTCACTAAACGAGTTGGTAGGTGTTCGATCTGTTAATAGCTTCATACCCCATAACACTAACCTGTTTGATCCTTTATATTCTTTTTTTTTTCGTTTTTGTCTCGGAGAATAAAGCAAATAACTTTCTGTTTATGGTTCGATAATCAGGCTGGCGTTAAATTTGTTAAAAATTTTCAAAATTTTCTATTCCCAGGGCTTTTTCGTCACGTAATAGCCTTCGTATCGTACGATACGGTTCTTGGGATGCTGGTCTGTTACGAGTCGACGCATCA